AAAGGCATATAGTTTGTATGATCCGTTGGTCGGATATTGTCAAGGGCTTGGATTTTTAGTTGGTCCGATGTTGATGAACGTAAGCATATAATTTTATTGCTACACGTAATCTTAAAAATCTTAAAGTAATTCATATTTATATGCGCGACAATTTTTTTATTTTTAAAAAATAGATGACTGAGGCACAAGCATTTTGTGTATTTGTTCGGTAAGCATTATCATCTTAAAAAACATAAATAGTTAATTAAATATAAATATTATCGATTATCATGAGTCTTACATCATATTTTTTCAAATATTTTTGCAAATATTTTTGCAAATAGCTTAATGGAAACGTATGACATGAGAACTATGTTTACACTCAACATGGAGGGCCTTCAACTCCGCCTTTATCAATTCTCAGCACTTCTCGCTCAAATTCTTCCAAAACTTCATGAACACTTTCAACGCCATGCTATACATCCTGCTATGTTTGCTTCGCAATGGTTTCTATCACTTTTTGCTTACACTTACCCTTTGCCATTGGTACTTCGTATTTATGATATAGTATTTGCTGAAGGTGCACCTGAGACAATTATGCGTGTAGCAATTGCATTATTGAAGAAAAATGAATCCAATTTACTCTCGTATGAAGAGTTTGAAGATCTTTTGGATTTTCTCACATCTCGATTATATGAGGCCTATGATAATAAACCAACTGGACTCATTAAGGATGCTATGGCATTAAGTTCAGTAATAACAAAGGCAAAATTAGATCAACTTTCTAAGAGTTATGTGAAAGAATTAGAAGATCAAAAGAAACGTTCCGAAAAATTAGTTGCTGTTCGATTCAATGGAAGATTTGCTGCTCCCAAAAAGGAAAAGAAAGAAGAATAAAAAAAAAACTTTAAAAAATAAAAAAATTTCTAAAGACCCGGCAAAATATAAAAAAAAATAAATCAAAAAAAGTAAAAAAAAAAAAAAAACTTTAAAAAAAATTATTAAAAATTAATTTTTTTTTTTTTTTTTTTAAAAAAAATCCTAATTTTCAAACAAATTTAAATATTTCTTTTTAATAATAAAAAAAAAAAAAAAAAAA